GCCAAAACAATACAATAGAAAACAAGGACCTTATTTGAAAGAGCCATGCTTTGTTGATGGTGGTACGGTGTTCAAAAAGCCATAGCTCAGAGGGCTTATGTGGGAGTTATATTCTAATTCATAGAAAAGGAGGCTACCTTTTCTGACATTATTGTGGGTTAAATAAGTTATTTTTTTTCTATTAAAAAAACTGGAAATGCTCACTAAACTTAAATATCTTTTTAAATGGTTAGATGATCCTACAAAGATTAAGGCATATACTCATGGGCTTAAAACAAGAAGGAATTAAAAACTAGGGCCATAAGCACCTGAAGCTTATTTATTGCTAATTTTCTGCAGTGTTTGCTGGTCTAAATAACATAAGGCTTGTGTTTTAGTAGCATCTTATGAGCAAATGAGATCTTGGGTCATCAGGAGACATGGAGTTAGACTTGGGTCATTAGGAGACATGGAGTCAGGTTACTTGAAGGGCTCCATCTTCAGTAAAATTTTTGATGAAATATGGCCATTAGCAAGGAAGTATGAGTAAGTGAATCTATTTTGTCTTGATATTTGAGTGGGAAAAAAAATCTTCCCTGAGAATTCATAAACAGAGTCCTATCTTGATACAAGGTTGGAAAATCAATTTTTATCATTTGTAAAGTCTTGAAGCAAGTCCAGATGTTAACCTAGACGTGGTCCTGTGATGTAATATCCAATTGCTTCTGCCAAAAGTAAATTCAAAACCACTCTGGAGGGAGTAGTCTCATGGCATTTGCACAAAATCAGACAAACATGACCTCACATTCCAAATGTATAAACTGTGACATAATCTTTGATGAATAAGAGAGAGAAGAAAAACCTCTGTATTTGATTCCCCAAGAACTTAAGAAAATGGAATTATTAGATAGACTCTAAATGAACATGAGTAACATCACTGAGGAAACAAAGGAATGAAATATATGAGAAAAGAAATAGATATAAGCAAAGATTAGACAGCTCTGAAAAAGACAAGTACAACTTCTAGTAAGAAAATGCATAGTCAATGGAATTGGAGAGTGGTGACTGCTGCTGATAAATCTGAAATGAATAGCAGGAGCAACTGTTAAACCTCTCTACAAGCTTATACTCCCAACTGATCTACCCTTGATTCCCACAGATAAATTTTGCTAAGGAGAATTTCACAATCAAAATTACGAAACAGAAGAATAAACCATGTACTTTGAGAATGTCATTGGACCCAATAAAAAACCCACAAAAATTTTAAAATTAACATGTTGATAATCATTAGACATAAAATAATTAAAAGTGACAAACAGGCTGGGTGCAGTGGGTTACGCCAGCACTTTGGGAGGTCGAGGCAGGCAGATCATGAGGACAGGAGTTCGAGACCAGCCTGGCCAATATGGTGAAACTCCATCTCCACTAAAAATACAAAAGATTAGCCAGGTGCGGTGGCGCACACCTGTAATCCCAGCTACTTGGGAGCCTGAGGCAGAAGAACTGCTTGAACCCAGGAGGCAGAAGTTGCAGTGAGCCGAGATCATACCACTGCACTCCAGCCTGGGCAACAAAGTGAAACTCCATCTCAAAAAAAAAAAAAAAAAAAGTGACAAATAAAATCATTATATCTGATCTTAAAAGGACAAAAATAACTTCTAAAAATTAAAAATAATCATTACTGTTTTTAAAATAATGGGATGTTAAACAGCAGAAGAATCAACCAAAGAGAGATTAGTGAACTAGAAGATAAAGCTAATGAATTTACTCAGAATGCTTCCCACAAGGATTAAAAAAAAAGATTACGTTCAGAATGTGTATAGAAAAACAAGAAAAAAAAGATAAAGAAAAGGAATGTATAAAAGACATAGAAATGGAGAGAGAAGGTATATTATGTGTCTAACAAGAACTCCAAAGAGAGATAATGAAGATGAGGGAAAGATAGCATGTAAAGAGTCTTCTGAGAGACCATATTTCAGAAGTGATTAAAAAGTATTAACTTAAAGACTCAGCAATCATAAGCCCAGGTTGTGAATAAAACTAAATCCGCAACTAGAGAGATGATGAAACTTCCAAACTATGAGCATAAAAAAGAGATATTTTTCAAAACCAGAGAAAAAAGACAACTTACAAAGGAGGAAAAAACAAACTGTAAGTAGGCCTCTCCAATGCAAGAATAGAAACTAGAAGGCAATAGAAAAATATCTGTAAAATAGTGAGATAAACTAACAATGCACCTGAATCCACCACTGGTAGAATCTTGCTGAAAGAACCAACAAATGATTTAGTCAAGGAAGAAATGGAGCCTAGAAGGACAGAGTGAGGTACAGGATGTACCAAGATTGGACTTCCCATGAGCCAGTGATGTTATAAATCACCCAGTCTGTGATACTCTGTTATAGCAGCACAAATGGACTCAGTTATTCTTTAACATATAGAGAAATGTCTTCTTGTGAGTTTGTCAACATTTTTGTTATGGTTTGATATACTCAGATTACCCACCTGCTGACTGATTTATTTGCTTAAGAATACATCCTGTACCTCACTCTGGCCAGAGTGGATTCAGGTACATTTAGATCACTTGAGGTCAGAAGTTCGAGACCAGCCTGGCAAACATGGTGAAATCTTGTCGTTACTAAAAATACAAAAATTTGCCGGGAGTGGTGGCACATGCCTGTAGTCTCAGCTACTTGGGAAGCAGAGGTGAGAGAATCACTTGAACTTGGGAGGTGGAGGTTTCAATGAGCCAAGATCCCTCCATTGCAGTCTAGCCTAGGTGACAGAATGAGACTCTGTCTTAAAAAAAAAAAAAAAAGCAATGTAACTTATTGTATTAATAGATTAAAAAGAAAAACCATATGATAATCTCAGTACATGCAGGAAAAAAGGTATTTGACAAAATTTAACATCCATGCATGATAAAAACTTACGGCAGACTATAAATTGAAGAGAACTTAATCTGATAAAGAATATCTTTTTAAAAAAATAGCTAATACTTAATGGAGAAAGACTTAATGTTTTTCCCTAAGATTGGGAACAAGCCAAGGATACCCTCTCTCACAATTTTTATTTACCATTATACTGGAAACCTAAGCTGATGTGATAAAAAAGAGGAGGAGGAGGAGGAAGAGGAAGAGGAAGAAGAAGAAGTAGAAGTAGAAGAAGAAGTGGGAGAAGAAGAAGAAGTGGAAGAAGAAGGAGAACAAGAGGAAAAGAAGAGGAAGAAGAATAAAGAAGAAGAAGGAGGAGGAGGAGGGGAAAAAGGAGAAGAAGAAGGGAAAGAAGAAGGGAAAAAGGTAAAAGCATATAGATAAGACCAAAAGAAGAAATACATCTCCTTGTATGGGATGATGGGACCTTATATATGCAGAAAATGCCAATGATTCTACAAGAAACCTCCTAGAACTAATACAAAAACTTAGCAAGCCTGCAGGATACAAAGTTAACATACAAAGATAAATTGTATTTGTATATGCTAGCAATGAGCAATGAAATTAGAATTATTTTTAAAACATCATTTAGAATGTCACTAAAACTATATTTCAGTATAAGTCTAATAAAGTATACATAGGGTGTGTATGCTAAAAACTACCAATTGCTGGTGAGGAAAATTCAAGAAGACCTCAGCAAATGGAAAGACAAGCTGTGTCAATAGAGTAGAAGACTCAGTTTCGTTAAGATGTCGATTCTCCCCAAATTGATCCATAAGTTAAACACAATCCCAATCAAAATCCCATTAGACTTTTTCATAGATATTGACAAGCTAATTCTAAAATTAATATGAAATGCCACAGGAACTAAAACAACCAGCACAATTTTGAAAAGAAAGACTATGTTGCAGGACTCACACTATGTGATTTCAGGTTTACTCTAAAGCTACTGTAATCAAGACGTTGTAATAATGGTGAAAGCATACAATCACTTTTCAATGGAATAAAATTAAAAGCCCAGAGATAAACTCAACCGAACACAGTGATCTAATTTTTGACGAAGATATCAAAGCACTGCAATAGTGAGGGGATAGTTTTTCTAGCAAGTGGTGCTGGAACAATTGGGCATTCATATGAAAACAAAAAAGAATCTTAGGCTGCACCTTACACTGTGTAAAAACAGGAATCAAAAATGATTCATAGACTAAATGCAAAATCTAAAACCATAACACTTCTATAATAGATTCCCTAAGAGAAAACTTGCACAATGTTGGATTAGGCAAAGAATTTGTAGACATGATGCCAAAAGCTCAATCAAAAGAAAAAAATTCGATAAACTGGACTTTATATTAAAATGTAACATTTTGCTCTGAGAAAGACACTGTTAAAGATTTGAAAATTATAAGGCATAGGCTGGGAGAAAATATTTGCTAACCACATTTCTGACTAAAGACTGCATCCAGAATATAGAGAAGACTCAAAACTCAACAACAGAAAAGAGCCTAATTTTAGGAAATGGGCAGAATGTCTGAACCTTCACCTAAGAAGGTTTTTTGGATGGAAAATACACATATGAAAAGGGGCTTAGAATTACTAAAAATTAGGGAAAATAAAATAAGATGCTAATATGCATCTATAAGACTGTTTACCGTTTAGAATAATCTGTGAATTTCATGTGCTGGAGAGGTTATGGAACCACTGGAACTCTCCAACATTGCTGGTCACAATGAAAAGGGATCTGGCTACTTTATAAAGCACTTTGGCAGTTTCTTATAAAGTTGAACACACACAGTCGACCATAAAATGGTCCAACAATTTCACTCGTAGGTAACTACCTAAGGGAGAGAAAAATTTATGGTCACATAAAAATATGTACACACATCTTCACAGCCACTTTATAATTGGAAATTATAATTGTTAAAATGTGGAAACAACCCAGATACCTTTCAGCTGATGAATGAATAAACAAACTGTGGTATATCTATATAATAGAATATAATACAGTATATAGTAGAATATAATCCAGTAATATCAAGGGACAAGCTACTGATTCCCCAAAAACATGGATAAAACTTAAACATATTTTGTTACATGAAAGAAGCCAAAGCTAAAGATTACGTGTTGTTTGATTCCACAGGCAGACTTGTAGGGAGAAAAACACATCAGCAGGAACGGGGTCTGGGGGATCGGGGTGAGGGGAAGGGATTTTGTACAAAAAGGAAGCATGGGGAATTTAGGGGGAGGTGGATGTGTGATGGAAATGTTCTCTATAGAACCATGATGCTATGCATGTGTCAAAGCCCATAAAACTGTACACCATAAAAGTGAATTTTACTTAAAAATCTCAGCCAGGATATGGGAATAATATGGAAAGCCGACTGTGACAAGTGGCTCAGAATGTATTATAAATAAATCCTATAACCCATACGGAGGGAGGTGGGGAAGTCAGGGTTTAAACTGGATGGTTGCTGTAAGACTCAAGACAAAAGAACTATATATAAACACGATACTTGAGAAATTTGTTTTTTTAATTTTTAATTATTCTGACTACAAAATAGGTGTATATATTTGTGGGGTATATAGGATATTTTGCTACAGGCATACAATGTGTAATAATCACATCAAGGTAAATGGGGTATCCATTACCTTAAGCATTTATCCTTTTTGTTGTAAACAATCCATGTATACCCTTTTATTTATTTTAAAATGTACAATAAATTATTGTTGTCTGTAGTCACCCTGTTGTAGTAGGTCTTATTTGCTCTTTGTAACCATTTTTGTACGCATTAACGCCCCCCACCCCACTTCTCCTCCTCCTCCACTGCCCTTCCCAGCCTCTGGTAACCATTATTCTATTCTCTCTCTCCATGAGTTCAATGGCTTCAATCATTAGCTCCCCCAAACAAATGAGAACATGTGAAGTTTGTCTCTCTGTGCCTGGCTTACTTCACTTAATGTAATGACTTTCCTTTCCATCCCTGTTATTGCAGATGACAGGTGTTCATTCTTTTTTTGCAGCTGAATAATATCTACTTGATAAATTTGTTTCTCATGGGAGTATGGGTTAGAAGTTTTAAAACTGGCCAGGGACAGTGGCTCATGCCTGGAATCCCAGCATTTTGGGAGGACAAGGCAGGCAATCACGAGTTCGAGACCAGCCTGGCCAACATGGTGAAACCCCGTCTGTATGAAAAATACAAAAAAGTAGCTGGGGGTAGTTGTGGGCAACTATAATCCCAGCTACTCGGGAAGCTGAGGCAGGAGTATCGCTTGACCGTGGGAGGCGGAGGAAGCAGTGAGCCAAGATTGTGCCACTGCACTCCAGCCTTGGCAACAGAGTAAGACTCTATTAAAAAAAAAATAAAAAAGAAGTTTTGAAACTAATTTGGATGTCAATGTTGAGCAAATAAATAGATAAATTGTGAACAATCAAAACTAGGTTTCTCAGAGTGGAAGAATGAAGTCACGAAAATGAAAGGCAGGAAGGCTAGATGGAATCCTGCGATGCTCTTGCCTTGCTGGGGTTTTCTGTGTTTTGGCTCCTCCCCGGACCTTCAGCCATTCCTTCAGGGCTGATCTGCACACAGTGGCTCTCCATTAATTCGCTTTTCTTTCAGTGGTAGACTGCTCTTACTCGGTACTGGATTCTGAGTTCATGGTGGACATTCTCTGCTGTCTTGAATCAGTCTGTCTTAGTCATTTGGAGCCAGTGCCTGGGTCTTGAGAGTGGGGCTCTCTGGGCAAGTTATATTTATTTTAATACTTCCGTTGCTTTCCTGCTATACCTGTACTGTCCATTTCCAGAGAGCTGCACCAAGCAGTGTCTTACTTATATGTGGACCTCCAGTGTCTGTAATTATGCCTTGCACATGACAGATCTTTGGTAAACTTCTGTTGCACATAATTAGACAAAGCTGATTTGAGTGAAATGTTTAGGAAAATGAAGTGTTTACTTGGCTTGTATTTCAAAATTCTGGCTTGAGAATCATTTTCTCTATCTCTTTGTAACTATTTGGAATGACAGCGCTCCCCATAACAGGTTCTCTTAATTTGCCTCACTTCTCCTAGAAGGGGTGAGATAACTGACATGTACTGAGGAATTTCCATGTGGCAAGTGTTGTGCTGGTCATTTAAACCCACATCCTCATTCAAATCCTGATGATGCTTAAAATTTCCAGTGAGAAAATGGGGGACTTAGTAACTTTTCAAATAACTCAGAACTAGTAAGTAAAAGAGGCAGAATAGAAGTCTAGGCCTAAAGTTATGTAAATATCAAAACAGGCTTATCAAGCAGTGTGCTTCTCATATAAAGGTTACTTCTTAACTTGGAGATGAGAACTTTTCATGCTGTAAAAACTGGCATGGGCAGTGGGTGAGGACAGAAGACTTCTAAGCTCCAAATCTCCAAGAGTTCAGGAAACAATCATGAGGGGGCCAATCAGTGTAGGACTCATTAAGTTACTTGTGAAGTGAAGAAAACGTATCTATCAAATTTTTAAAAGTATAGTGCTTTGAATCTCTCTTTCCAGAGATCCCTACGGCCGTCCTTCTGCTTTGCCTTGTGATCTGCTGCCACCTGCTGGTTATCTCAGAGAAGGCAGAAGGAAGCTTCAGGCTCAGGGTCAGTGCTCTGGGATCTTTGCCAGTGCAGCCCTGCAGAGTGACTATAGTGCCATCTGCAATTGTCCTGAATAAGCCTGTGTTGACATTCTTGGCTTATCTCTATTCTTTCATTGTCTGAAGAGTTATGAGTAAAAGACCTGTGCCCTAAAGTCTGAAGCTCCAGCCTTCAAACAGGATGTGGTCAGAGGCCTCTACCCTGCTTGGGTAATAAAGTAGATGGATGGCTCATAGGGAGGGCCCAGCATTCCCTGACTGGTGAACAGTAGGCATTTTCCAAATGAAAGCTCTTTTCTCTCCCCCTCCCTTCACCAGAGGCCCCTCAGGACTTGGTTGGCTCCTGCAGTCCCTGAAGTTGAAGGACATTTAGAAGCTAAAATAGTCCCAAGGATTGGGTCTTCTCACTTGCAATTCAGGACTCCTCTGGCTAAAAAAAAAATCTGCCTATGGACTTAAGCAAGAGAGAGCCCCCTAATTTGGGAGGAGATACACAATTATAGAGTCGGCAGACACAGCAGGCAGGTGGCAGCTGACCTCATTATGCTGGGGCTTTAAATAAGTGTTGCTGAGGTCAGCAGAGCACCCAGACACCAAATTTTGCAGTAGGATTGGAAACCATCCATAAATGACTTTAGAAGTCTAGTTATTTTTCCATCCTAAATCTTGGAAAAAAACATTAGCAATAATATATGTGTGCATATATTCATACATATACAAAGAATATAAATAATATAAAATTTGTGATGAAAGACCAAATACCAACGGTAGTTAGCTGAAGGTGATAAGGTTATTGCTTTTCCTTATCTCCATTTTATAGGTTTTTTTGAAAGAGTGAATATTGATTACTTAGTATCTTTTAACTTAAAAAAGAAAGAGTGTCTTTTAATCAGACTCTGGTTGTATATACCTGGGACTTTTGGTTGTAATCAGAATGGACCCGGATCTCCAAGGTGGAAGATGGGAAAACAGAAAAGAAAGGTCTTGTCTGTTTATTCTTGCAGGTCGCTCACCCCAGCAGTTTGAAGACAAGAGGACAGAGCTATTTGGCTTCTCTGCTGCCATCACTCGCTTGACTTGCTTGGCTGGGATGACATGCGGCTGGTGCTGGAGTCCAGAAATCTGGCACTGGCTTTTGTCCCTTTTCATCCTCAATCCTGCTTCACTCTTCATCCCTGGCCACTACTTTTACCCCAGTCCTCCCCTATCTTTCTACCACCACACAAAATTTTCACAAGTGGCTAGAAACTGACATTGTTTGTTCAGTATTAAGGCATGGGAGAGAAGGAAGACCACAGAGGTGTTTTTTTTTTTTTTTTAAACCCTACTGGAAAGATTGTGCACATTGACATTGAAAACCTACTAACAGTCCGGGAGTTGTGGCTCGCTCCTGTAATCCTAGAGTTTTGGGAGGCTGAGGTGAGCAGATCACTTGAGGCCAGGCATTCGAGACCAGCCTGGTTATCATGGGGAAATGTATTCTGTAGTAAAAATACAAAAATTAGCCTGGCAGGGTGGCACACACCTACAATCCCAGCTACTTAGGAGGCTGAGGCAGGAGAATTGCTTCAACCCAGGAGGTGAAGATTGCAGTGAGCTGAGCTTGCACCACTGCACTCTAGTCTGAGTGACAGAGCAAGACTCCATCTAAAACAGACGAACAAACAAAAACAAAGTGGTGGCTCATGCCTGTAATCCCAGCACTTTGGGAGGCAGAGGCGGGCAGATCACTTAAGGTCAGGAGTTCGAGACTAGCCTGACCAACATGGTGAAACCCTGTCTCTACTCAGAATTCCAAATTAGCCAAGCATGGTGGTGTGTGCCTGTAATACCAGAAAAAGAAAAAAACCAAAAAAACAAAAAGACTTACTAACCAATAGCTTAACTTGGGCTGAGAGGGGCTAAAGCTTGGGTTTCCACCTTTGCAAGTGAAACACCAGATGAGCAAAATCACACTGAACTTCTCACTCCCAATAAGCTTTTGCTTCCCCTTTTCCCGTTTTGAAAGAGGGCCAATATCCTTCCAGAATCCTAAGCATAAAATGTGAAGAGTTGCTGTGGAGTCTTCTCTCCATCTCAGCAATTGCCAAGTTCTAAAGCTTCCATCTCAGGCTCTCCCTGCTCCCCTCCTTCCCTCTATGGGCTCCCTGCCTTACTCCCATCACCTCTGCTCTTCCCGTGGCATGAGCCTCCTGAGGTTTCACACCTCAGTCTGCCCTCATCCAGTCCAACTGACCTAGAGATGCTGCATTCATTGGTCTGAGGGCCAATTTTGACTGCCTTTCTAAACACATTTGCAAGTTACCCAGTATTGGCCAAATAATACTTGAATTCTAAACCCTTCTGCAGTCTAATCCCAGGTTATTATTGACTATTCCCTGTGAGATAATCTTGTCAAGAGCCAACCATTGACGGTTCCAGGCACTGTAATTGACACTGAGGCTGTAGACATGAGAGTACTTGGGCTCCAGTAGTCTCATCTCCTGTTGGAGACACAGTCAGCAGCAGTGTAAGTGCTCTAGAGGGATGGCCGGGGCTCTCTAGGAGTCTAGGACAGAGAGTCTCAGAGGCCTCTGTAGGCTAAGGCAGGGAAGGAATAGGAATTAACCAGACACCTTGAGGGTATGGCTAGGAGACTGGTAGACATTTTAGGCAGAGGCAACCATGCGGATGCATGAAACTGCAAGAACACATGGCAGGTGCTACTTGACAGTTAAGGCTGCATGTGAGAAAGCAGCTTAAGAAGATGGAAGGGGCATAAGAACAACAGCACAGGTACGAACTTCCTCCTGGGGCCTTGGATTCTGCTCAGCACTTCTCATGAGTTTTCCTATTTACTTCTCAGGAAACACTGTAATATGAGTATGGTTCGTTCTGCCACAATGTATGTTTCTGTAACAACAGTTAGCTCATACTTGATTGGAAAATAAGGGAATGATTTCAGTACAGTGAAGTTGAGTTGGTTCAGATACAGTCTCCTCCCCACCCCCACTCTTCCTCTCCCTCTGCCGGGCTAGGGGAATTAGAAGAGCAGGAGTAAAATCAGAATGTTTAGCAGGAAGTAAGAAAGCCCTCAGCTCTACCGTGGCTTAGTCTCAGGCCCTTACTGCTTTATTTTAAGAAAATTAAAAATGAGAGTCTGCCATGGGGCTCCCTCTCTAGAGAACTCAGCCTTACACAAGCTCCTGGCTCTTGGCAGGTACACGTGCCCTTCTGTCTACATTCACTACAGCCCCTCTGGTTCAGATCTTCACTTCTGTCTGCATTTTCTTAGCACCCATATGATACCATCTCCACTCTATAACTCTGAGCTTTTCCCATAACCCCTGAAGCAGCCTTCAACTGTGCTGAGCAACCGGTCTAGACTGTCCAAGTTATCTCCAGAGATTCCAGCTATTGTTTTTTCTTTCTGGTTGCAAAGGTTTACAGCTTTTGAGAGATATGCCCAATTTCATTTTTCCCCTTTAGTCCTTTATTTTTAGTGTAATTTTGTCGACTGTGAGATTTTTCAGGATTGAGTACGTTGTACAATAGAAGACATGTACTATTAAATTCTTGTTTTATAAGAGAGGAAGCAGCAGTTTAGATGCATGTTACTTGCTCGTGTTTTTACGTCTGGTGGAGAGCAATGCTGAATTTCATGGCTCAAGCTACTTGGTTTTATGGGGGCAGACTGTATGTGGTCTTACATGCTGGTACTTAAAAATCTGTTATCTTTCAGCAACTGGGCCTGGGATTTTGCAAACTGCATTTCCTAAACTCCTTTGCCAGCTGCTTTCCTTAGGTTTTGCCAATGGGAGGCACTAGAAAGTGGCTGAGAAGTGAGAGAAGGGGAAAATGGACTTCCTGCTTTTCTATTCCTGTCCTTCTTTCTTTAGAACCACAGACAGTTGGCTCCAGCCTTTCCATGTCCCCAGGTTGCCAGCAGCAGCTGGGTTGCTCTCCATTAGCAGTCAGCGAACAGGCCGTGCTATGGTCCTTCACCAGATTGGCCTTAAAAATTCCTTCATAATCCAAGCCTTGGCTGCATTCTTCTTCCTCAGTGATCTGAGCACCAGCTTACCAGAGCTTCCTCCAAGAAGTCTGAACTCCGGGACCCCAGAACTTCTCCCAGCTGTTCATTCTGGAAACTCCATCTTTCCCCTTTAGATTCCTCACTCCCAGGAGTTGCAGTTGCTTCCTGCAGTTCTTGTTCTCTAGGCCATTGCAGTGGCCCTTTTGTTCTTCCGGCCACTCCTGTGACCCACTCCTTGCACCGAATGCCTTCTCTCTAACAAAGTTAGTGTGTTCAGTCTCCCTGAGTGGATCCTGACCCTGATAGCATGCCATGAATATTGCTCAATAAGGAAAGGCGAGTCTTTGGCATTTAGACTGAAAAGCGGCTCCTTGCTGCAGTCCTTATTTCTTCATTTGGCAGCATTGACTCTGTTGACGATCCCTTCTTCCTTTAAATGTCATGTGATCTTGGCTGCTGTAATGTAAGACTCTCATGATTTCCCTAGCTCTCTGGCTACTGTCTTAGACTCCTATGGAGAGTCGTGTTTATTCTGGTGTTTCCTAGGGCTGGATACATGACCCTTTATTTCTGGTGTTTCCTAGAGCTGGATACATGACCTGTTATTTCTTCAATCTACATAGTTTCCCTAGAATAGCTCCTCCATTTCTATAGCTTTAGTTATTATCCAATTTTTGATGATGCATAGACACATGTCTCAGCCAGACCGTTCTTCTCAGTCCCAGGCGCATTCACCTAGCTGCTGTCTGGACATCTCCATGTGAATGCTCCCTGTGCAACAGATGGCCTGGACTGGACTGTGATGGAGGGAGACCTGGTTTCAACCCAGATCTGCATCAAACCCAAGGAGTCCCCAACAGTTGATAATCATCTGTTTTTCCCACCAACCCTTTTCTCCCTCTGTGTTCATAGTATAAGTGACTACCTCTAGCATTCATCCTCGTCCAAGTTGAAAAGCTGGGTGTCTGTTTTGATCCCTGATTCTCGCT